GGGTGGCGTTGTTAAGCAACTTACTAAAATTAAACTTTCACAAAACCTGAGTTTCCATCTGGTGTCGCCACATGTGCAACCCACATACTCAGCTCTGCTGCTCATCCCGCAAATGCATGTTCCTTACAAATGTGGCACCATTTAAAAAGGAAATTAACAGGCTTTCCAATGGTGTAAGATTTACTGCCAAGAAGCATTGTTACAACAACGAATCATAATTACAATAATCTACAAAAGACACATTTCCTTACTTTTTGTGGTAAACATGCTGTGTTTAAACATCCAATGACTTGATATGATCGTTCGTTTATCTTAATATAATTTAGTTTATTTTTCTTCTTCAGGGTCAGTGTTCTCCACCTTAGCACTGATCACAATAAGAAGGTAAATAAGGTTGGTAAATGCACTTTTATTACAATCCACATTTGCTGGTCGCTCTGAATGTAAAGTGAAAAAAAAAAGACAAAGTAATACAGAAATACTTCCATACTGAACAGCAGTACAAAAAGAGCATCAATATGTACAAGATATTTATGTACAAATAAGCTTTTTTTTTTCTTTACACGCAGGTATGAAAACAAAAATCAGACATCCTTGACAAACTGCATTACAAAAACAATACAGGCAACAGTGTGTAGTTTAAAAACATAAGGCTTATAAGCCTTTCATTTACGAGCATGAAAACTCGCTTTTTGACAAGATTAACAACTTATCTTTTAAGTATGTGTCTTTATTGTTTCTCCTCACATACACTCATAATTTACATTCTTTCGTTCATCCTCAGCCACGCTCACAAACAGCCAACCACACAAAAATCACATTAAGTGCTAAACAGGCATCCATTCACTAAAACAGAAATAAAGTTCTGGACACCAGTCAGGTGGTGGACTGGAGCATGAGAGGCTACATCGCAGGCACTCCACGGTTATTCTTCAGATGCTCAGATGAAGTCTTTCATTCAGAGATCACCTGCGTCCTCTTTTAGCCACCATAATGTGCTCAAAATGACGACTTAGTGAGGTTTTAGCAGCATCTCTGATCCTCAAGTGTCCGCCGAGAGTCGTCTTCTGAGCTCATGAAGGTTTCCCCACTGATAATACCTGTGTGGAGCAGGTAACCAGACCTGGGTCCTGTCAACAAAAAGTGCTAAAAACTCAAAATGAATTCAGTTAAGCTCCTGAGGGGCTCAGAAGTCCAAAGACAGGGTCAAACCTCCAGTTCCTGATTGTCTGTGCTGTGGAATCGGTTCAGCTTCTCCCGTTCTCGGTTTGAAATGTCTAGTTTGGGGGCGTGGGCTGGTTTCAGCGCTGGGGAGGGGTGCGAAGGGGCCGGGGAAGGCGGCAGGGTCAGTTCAATCTCCTCGTAGCAACGCGAGACGGGAGCAGGGGCCGGTGGGTGAGCGGGAGCGGCGTCGGCGGGGTCCACGAGGGGAACGGGACGGTCCACGTTTCTGATCAGGTTGACGAACTCCCTCTGGTTGTTGATGCTTTCCTCCTGCGGGACCGACTGCTGCTTGTTCCTCTTCCGGTGGAGGTGGGAGAGGGTGAACGCACACACGGCACAGCCGCAGATCGTCACCAGGGCTAAGACCCCCAATAGGATCATGTGGAAGCTGAGACCCCCGTGGGTTGTGTCAGACATGGCACCTTCAGACGAGGCAGAGATCAGATCAGACTTCACATTAAAGTTCTCTTTTGTTGTTTGAGACACAAACTGTATTTCTCTCACCTGAGCAATGTTGACCAATGCAAGGGTTTTTGAGGCTCACACACTCGTTGCCATAAAAACCAGCAGGGCACGCACAAATGTACCTGTCCTCTATGCTGTGACACTGCACCCCCTGCTGGCAGGGGTTGGGATTACATAGGTCCAAAATGACCTGAAAAACAGAATGGTTGAAACAAAAATGTCATTTTATATTGTATTCTGCTGTATTGTATTGCATTGTATTAAATTATATTACATTACATTACATTATATTATATTATATTTATCAACCACCACCAAAAGACAAAGGCAAGTATATATTTGTACCCACGTCTGTATGTTTTGGTATCTATGAACCACTGGACAAAATGCATTGAAACTTGCAGAATTTCCTCTTTAACTGATTAGCAATATGCATTCAGTCAACAAAATGTTTGATTTTTATCAATTCAAATAATCGATCAATCAGTCCATTTCCATCATGCCTTCCTCTTTTTATCACTTTCTCTCACTGACCTGCATTAACCTGACGGTAAAGGAGACATTTCATGCAAAACTGTTTTAGCTGTTAAATACATTTTGTTTTGGAGTGCAGAAATGTTAAATTTAGTTTCTCCCGGTGCTACGTAGATATTTTTACATTCTGTTTCGGTCATATTTTTCAACCCGTTTCTTTTTCTCTATTATCTATGATGTTTTCTGGATGGACAGGTCTTCTGTTTTTAACATCTTTTAATTATTAGTAAATCAAATGTTTCTGTGCCGTTAGTCTGAAAGCTGGAGGGGTGCGAGGTGTGAAGTGTCTCTTTTGGATTTAAAGAGACAGCCTCAAAACGAGTTGATCTGAGGCACACCTCAGAAAAGTGGCGAAAGAAGGGCTTGTGGAGTTACAATAAGGAGGAAATCAGAGCAAAAACGTTGCAGTTCCACTTTATACAGACCCCAAATGAATGATTTAAATGTGAAAAATAAGAATGTGAAAACATGATATGTCTCCTTTAAACCACTACAGTTCAGTGAATCAACAATTTATGTTGTTGTTTTGTCAGTTTCCTAACCTCACAGAAGATTCCTGAATGTCCCGTGGGACAGTTGCATGTTGGTGTCCGTCCATCCGTCTCCACACACTGTCCTCCGTGCAGACAGGGGGCGCTGTCGCAGGGACTCACACTGTTCTGGCAGTATTTTCCATTGAAACCAGACAGACACAAGCATCTGGACCCTGACAGCTGGTCCTGTACGGGACGCCATATATATTTGTGCAGAATTTAATTTTACGTGACATGAATTTGAGGCATGTCTAGGATCTGACACGAGCAATAATGTTCGTCCTTTAGAGAATAAACAGAACTGTAACAACAAACTTCTTTTGAACGGAGGAGGTATTTTTCKCTCGAGCTCATCGTGACTCACCTCGCAACGTCCGCCGTTCAGACACAAACCCTGACAGCTGCTGTTCCCTGGAAATGAGGAAACACAAACACCCGATTAATCTGTCACAATAAAATGAGATTTTAATAAAACCACAAGTCTGTAAACAGTACAGAGGAAAGAGAAACAATGACTGAAGTCTGATTTGAATGGTAATGTGTTCTTGTGCGAGCACAAAGCAAAAAAATTCCTTTTTACAACAATATCTGAAGCAGCTTCAGGAAAGAGTGGAAACAAACCTCCTTTCACTTATTGTTTATCTTTTTTCTTGGTTAAACCGTGTGAGAATCGTTTGAWGGAGTAAAGCGATCTGTTAACAGAAACTCTGCGATGCTGAAGAACTAACGTTTAAAGGATCCTCGGATTTCACCGCCTGCCACAGGACAATCGCTCCTCTTGTCTCTTTCATCTTCTTTCCTTTCTCTAAGTTCTTTTTTTATTCCTAATTTTTAAGTCCTTTCATACATACTGATGTCACAGTTCAAGCCGGTCCATCCTGGAAGGCAGTCACACAGGTATCCACCGATCAGGTTACGACATGAGCGGGCGTGGACACAAATACTCGTTTCACACTCGTTGGCATCTAAAAACACAACGTGAAGGAAATACAATAAAACGTAAAATTATAAATAATTTTTTTCTCATCAGTGTTTGCACTTTGTTGTATTTATGTTCATAATGGAGTTAAACCTGGACTTTATTTCATTAGATGAAGACGGTTTAACAGATGGGTGATTGATTTGGAGTTTCAGAAGATTTAATAGGTTTTTATTTATCCCTAAAGGGAAAATTTGCTGTTCTTGCGCTTGCTGAGGCATGACAATAATTAGAGAATAATTTATTTCACTGTGCGGTTTCATATTGGCACTGCAGCTTGTTAATTAGAAATGCGCTGCTTCTGAGGTTTCCAAGGCAAAGTCTAATTATTTTGTGATAACGTGTGTATGTTTTGACAGGAAGTGGGAGCAACTCTGCATTAAATAAACTTCAATGAAATGTAGTATCTCATGAAATTTTTATCATAAAGGTGATTAAGTCCAAGTTATTGGGAAAATATAATACCATGCAATGTTTACGGGGAATAAGATATATACTGTATATATACGACATCTTATGTTTGTTTTTGTCAATTTGGAGAGTGTTCAAGCTTAAGTTTGTTGTAAGTTTGAAGTTATTCTTTTTTTAAATAAGGGGTAGTTAGGATTTTTTCTTCACTCTGTACCCTTTTCATTCAGAACTTTTCTTCTTTTTTTCCTTTTATGTATGTACATATG